TTTAAAAAAATGAAATTTTACTGTTTGCGATCATATGGTATCAGCTCTGGCTGACTCCAGAACTTACAAAGGATGCATGGTTTGGTGAGATAAGAAGAAAGAAGGAGAGGCACAGGAGGCATTGACCATTATGGCCCAATGCTCATAATGGACAACTCAGAAAAGTTGCCTTCTCCTTTTAGAAGATGCCCTATATACTTTCTGTTCTCTATGTGAGAAACCAAAATGCGTCATATCATGTGTTGTGTAAGTCTGAGGCACATGGTAAACAAACTTTTTGTACCTCAATGATTGCCATCTCTTCCAAGATATTATCAAGCCATTTCTTAAGCAAACTCCAGGACAAAGGTGGGCACATAACAGGATGCTTCAGGACATTGTGAGCTCAATGTACTATTGTATGCTTTTAGCTGAGTGGCATTACCGTAAGTTGCTAAAGACGCTGCTCCCATAACATGATTGATCAGTTCGAGGTGTTATACCAGTTACAGGAATCATTTCACATGTGCAGAAAAAGAACAACAACACCCTCAGGAGACTTTTAGAAATATCAGAGAGTTGATCGAGAGTCCATAAAATGGGGTGAGCAATGAGGTGACCAGAGATATTCTGCCAGGCCTTGCCATGCAGCCAGAAAGTCCTCACAGCCTCGCTAACCGAGGAGCAGTGCTCATCACATACCCAATGCCATTTGACCCAACTACATGGCTTCCTGCAATATGGGTCACATTGGAGATCATTGTTCTCAGTGAAAATGAGCCATTTCCAAAAGGACAAATACATGTTTGCTCTGATACAAGACCAACCTCCATCCAAAATTTAAAAATTAATAATAAAAATAAGCACACACTTGTAATTTTACAAATAGAGGATGTAAAGCAAACCCAGGAAACAGGAATCAAAGAAACTTGATACAATGCATCTCTGCTATGGAACAAAATTAGCAGACTTCCAATGAAACTTCTCCATATATTTAAACAACAAAATATCGTATTTTGTACCAGTGCCTATACCAACAGTGTCATGACCCATATAAAGAGCAGAAACTCTCTTTCTCTCTCTCTCTTTCTCTCTCTCCATATATACATGCTAAAACCAAACAAACAAAAAAACCCCCAAATGTTTAAATCTGCCCTTTTTTCAAAGTTGCAATCCTCCCTTTGTGTCCTTACATCTTTTTTGCCATTTGTGCTTCCACAAATGAATTTCTGAAATCTGAATCTGTTGATGTACCAGCTTGTATTTATCAGACATTAATACCTTTGCTCTTTCATTTTCAATTCAGAATTGTTTTAATTTATGCCTGTACTAAGCTTTATCTTTTAGATACAGACTGTATTACTAGATGGTATAATATGTTGAAGTCCATGTAAGTAGCCTGCACATAGGTTATAAATCCTTTGCTGCATAAATAAAATGTTATCACAACAAATCTGCTTTTCTCCAGTCATTATTTAACACTATTTGTGTATAGATACCTTGAAAAGAAAAATGGAGTATTCCTCCATGTAAGAATTATCTTTATTTCTAAATAAAGATGATCACATTGCCCTGGACATGTTATCCACCTCCAGATTCTATCATTCCCCTTCTATATTTAAAAAATGCCATCCTTTCTATCCTTCCTATGGTTTGTACTTGAACAAGGGGACAAAAAATCCTTGATGAAGGACAGATCTTTCCATTCTCATACTTCTAGGATATCAGGCCTGCAGTGAAATGAGGGGCATATTAAATCAGGAAGGCTTTAGATTACATCATGAATATGTTTTATCAACGAAAAGTATTTTATGGTGTGATAATTTCTTACAAATATATTTAGAAAAAATTCTCACATCCCCAAAATTTAAATTCAAAAGGATTCCTTTGGAATTCATCAAGCTTACATTTCCTTGAGAACAGTTCCACTGCTTTCAGACAGAAGCCACTTGACTCTTAGTCCACTAAGCCAACATGTGTTATATGTTACCCGACAGGAAGCAAGTGATGCATAACATGATTGGATTTCCACCACCAAATGAAAGAACTTGATTAAATGCAACCTTTTTCAACCCAGACCCTGGGTTGTGGATATTTGGATATAAAATGCATGGGAAACTTCTCTGTCATTCATTTTTTTCTCTATAGAAACTTCTCATAAATAAATAGATAACTACTTTAAAAAGAAAATCAAATTGACACAGCTTGATTTATTCTACTGAAAATGGAGTTGAGGACCTTTGCTAAAATTAACACCATGCACGTCTGTAGTTGAACCCTAGAAATGAAGGTTTTTATTATTATTATTATTATTATTACTATTAATATATTGCCACCTTACATTTCATATTATCACCACAAATACGGATCTTGTGAATTAGAGTGCACTTCTATTTCACTAAAAAATATTTACTACCCAGTTCAAGAGTTTGTTGTTACTGTTGTTGTTGTTGCGTGCTTGTTTTGTGGGTATTTTATTTATTTTCAATTTCATTTTAATTCTTTATTGTTTATAATACAGTTTCTTAGGCTCAAGGTTTTCCACTTTCACTCTCTCCAATCCCTCTCCAACCTCCAGTGTTCTCATCTGTATTATAACCAGTCAACAGAAGTCACAAGTCCACCATTCTGATCTTTAACTGTATCATGGCATTGTAGGTATAAATTATGGTAGAAAATCCAATATCTTATTGTCAAAATACATTTAATAGTTTCATTTGGAGTCCCGATTTTATTCATGAATAGAGACTCATACTGCAATCTATCTTTACATCTTGGTAGGATGGTCTCCATTATACAGTTCCTCTAGATGAATACATGTACGTACTTTGTTTATTTATGTATCTGTAGATCTTGTACTTTGCATGAAGGTCACCTGATATCAGAGGGAACATATCAGAGTTGTGCTTTTGGGATTGGTGTATTTCACTGAGCATGACAGACTCTAGTTGGGACAATTTTGTTGCAAATGGTAGAATCTCATTCTTCTTCATGACAGAGTAGCATTCTGCAGAGTAGGTGTACCACAATTTCTCTAGTCATTCCTCTTTCGACAGACACCAAGAGTTTTGTGCAGAAATGCTTTTGACTCATAAAATTGCATTCAATCTCTTTTTTAACATAAATTTTGTTTTTTACTACATCAATTAAAATTACTGAAATCAGAAGATGTATCTAACCACCTCCCTTACAGTTTGGTCTAGGAAATCAGACACTGCTTCTTAAAACCATGGGCACACTTTTATTTTTAAGATTTATTTATTTTTATTGCAAAGACAGATATATATAGAGAGAGGAGAAGAGACAGAGAAGATATTCTATGCGATGATTCACTCCTCAAGTGGCCGGGAGCTCTTCCTCGTCTCCCATGTGGGTGCAGGATCCCAAGGCTCTGGGTTGTCCTTGACCGCTTTCCCAGGCCACAAGCATGAAGCTGGATGGGAAACAGGGCTGCCAGGATTAGAATTGGCTCCCATATGGATCCTGGCACATTCAAGGTGTGGACTTTAGCCGCTATGCCACAGCGCTAGGCCCCTTGGACACACTTTTCAAGACGTTGGGTAGTTTTATCGCTGAGTTCTTGATGGGTGGAAAATATTCTTGTCCACTAGTCAGAATGCAGCCCAATGTGGTATTCCCACTTCAGCTCTTCCCACAAAATTTCTGGGTCCCAGAAAGGCAGAAGTAGCAAACTTTCCAGTTTTGCTTTTCTGTTTTTTCATACTGTGGTCAAGTCTGCAATAAGGGAACTCTGTACCACCACCCACAAGATCTATCTCATAACTTAAACTGGTATGTTGTTGTCAAGAAGCCATTATGTGAATATTTATCCTTTGTCATTGGAAATAGTAACATGGTTTTTAGTTTTCAACATTGAGGATTACATTAATGGTGTTTTGCTTGTTTTTACCATCTTGAGGAACATCACTTTTCTTTCTAAGTTGTTAAAAAATTTGACCATGAATGAATGTTGAAGCTTTTCATATACCTTTTTTCTGAATTAAGTGAAATATCATCGCGGAATTTACTTCATCTTATTCGTGTTTTACAAAGTTTTTGTGTCAGGTATGACTGCCACTAGATCTTTGGTTTTGCTAGTAAGTTTAGTAGTATGTGGAACAGTAGTGAGTAGGACAATTTGCCTGTTTTGTGGTTCGTTTGTTTTGTTTTTTGTGTTTCTTTTCATGTTTATCTGACTTTGACATTGTGGCAATGCAGGCCTTATAGAATGACTTTGAAAAAGTTTTGTCCTTTGCCATTTGGTGAGATATTCTGTCAATGTTTGTTATTAAGTCTCCTCTGAATTTCTGATAGTTTCAATTAGTGAAATTATGATGGGCTTTTCTTTGTTGGAAGGCTTTTGTACATTGATTCAGTGTCCTCCCCAGATAGAGGTTTCGCCCAGTTTATTGTTCCTTCATTTCAATCTTTGAAATAGCATGTTTCTGGATATTTGATTGCTTGTTCTAGATCATTTGATTATTGGCATATAATTATTTATACTTACTTTTTTCTATGTTCTTACAAATCTACTATTTGATTATTGTTATTATTGCAACCAGTCGAATATTGATGTTTCTAGTTAATGCCATACTGAGCCTCCTCTTTATTCTATAGATTCTGTGCATTTCATATATTTGACACAGTTTTTAAAATAAATTATATTTTATTTGATAGTAATGTAGTGAGCACAGCTGTCTTTTGATTACTTGTTTCATAAAGTATCTTTTCCTTTAAGGTATAACCTATTGTCATCTTAGAGCTAAAGTGAATCTCTTCCACAGCGAAGTGCTTGATCCTATTGCTCTCCACTAACTTACAGTTTAATCTCCTTTTGGATAAGTATAACCTATACACAATTAAAGTAATGATTGATGGTACGGAAGTTCATATTTGTTTTTATTCCTAAAAACCTTATTAGCATAGAAATAATGTCATGGCAACTGACTGATCCACTAAAAACAAGATCACTAGATTTCCTGAAAACCATAACTGAAAAGTCAGATTCCCAGCCCCAACTCTATCCAGTTTTTGAAAGGTCCCCGTATGGTGAAATGAATGCAGAAGCTTCTGATAGAAGACATGAGTAGGGCTCAATGTCAATATTCATCCAAAAATGGGTAGTTAGGATGTCCTCTCAAACTAAAATGAGAAACAAAAATGCATAAACAGAATTTAATAATTCCATATGAATGATGATAAGAAAGTTATGAAATTACTATTAAGAAGAAATTAGCTATTATATATTGTTACTGGTTAAAGACCATTCCTTTCTTGTTTTCATGATTGCCTTATAATAATCCCTTTTATGAACAAAATTATTCAAATTATATGCTTTTGCTAAGTATTTACCAAACAACACAGAGTCAACATATTCGTATTCCCTATCCAGATAGAACAATAAAGCAAAGTAATAAAAGACTAACTTGTATCAAATGGAGACTAATGCAATAAATTCCTCCTCAATTTCAAGAAAATTTAAGATAGTAATATTACTAACAGATCTCTCTCTCTGTTTACATGATATGCCTACTTTTTCTTCAATATTCTTTATACTTAATAAAATTTTCAACCTTGATAACAAAAATTTAATTTATGCTTACCCTAAATAGCAACATATTCCCATTCTTATAGTCTATCATTTTTGAATATGAAGAAAGTATAACAATGTTTTTTGACTATAAAAATCAAATAGTGCCAATTTTGCTTATGTTTCCTTTCATTCAGTTTCAATTTTTCTTCTACAAAGCTTATAACTTAATTAAGATCTCCATTTTTCACAACATAAAAACTAAGTATTCCTTTGATCAAATCAGGATCAATATGATTTTGAATTCTTGAAATGACATAATATTGCATGACCAGTATGCAAGTAATCATTTCATTTGAAGATGATGGGAATTTCAGTTAAGGAACATAAAGTTAACATGAATGCTTTTAATTTGATAATAAATTAATCATGTTTCAATAACATGATATAAACCTGATTTTGAAAATACAAAATAAACTCTATTGATAATAATCATAGTATATGCCTTCCAGATCATTCTAGAACACAGAGGTCTTTATGGAGGTGTCGATTCAGCAATGGCATTTCCAGGTTTGAAATGTTGTATGGAATGAGCAGCATAGAGAAACATGCAAAGAAGTCCACACTGACATGGAACCTGCTAACTGGTTCCTGTATCAGTGACCGGGGATCTATTGAGAAACTTGGAAGAAAATCCCTGCTTCATTTCGGGTTCATTGTGACTTCTCTTTCTGATGGTGAGGTAACTTTCATCAATCATTCTATATTCCTGTTCAGACAATAAGTTGTGGTAAGATACATGCCAAAGTCACTTACGGACTGGCAGTGAAATATCGAATATTTCTGTTCAGGCCATCTAGGGTTTTCATATCTTCAGGAGTCAAGTGGAATTCAAAAACCTAACAGGAAAGCAAAATATTCTTTTATTATTTTACTGTTTTTTTATTTAAAATGTGGAAAATTTAAGAAATTACACAGGATTATGTAAAAATCATACATGAATATTTGAGACATTTCCAAACCTTAAAGACATCAAGGCAAAATGCATGCGATTGATAATTATCAACTAACACTAAGTAGAAATTCCTTCCCAGATATAGCTAATTTGAGCTGTACAAGACTACAGGTAAAAGGAAATCTAAAAGGAAGCTGAAGAAGCAGAACTGGCAAAGTACGGAGGAGAATCATGCATTTAGATTCTAGAAAAATACAGGAGAAAATTTTTGAAATTTATAATTTACCAAGTTGCATGATGGCATTTAGGTGTTTGCATTTCACCTATTAACATCTAGAATTTAATTCAAGGGAAAAAAAATCACCCAAGTGCTAGTAGCATCAGGTGCAAAGGACACTGCAACTCCATTGAAACTTAACATTGCCTGATGTAGTGACACCATGAAGACTAGAGGAATCGCCACTAATGAATAACACACAATAACAAATTCATATTTTGTGAGTTTTGTATTAGATTGTATAGGGATTCAGAAAAAGAGAATGAGAAATGCCAAAGGGTTAACATTAAAGGAATCTAGGAAATATATGATCATTATATACTTATTGAATATTTTTGTTTATATATCTTTTCTTTTATGTCTTTTTGTTCTTGTTACTTTTTTCATTTCAGAATAGCTTTAAAGTAACAAAACAGAAATTGTAGAGTTTTGCGTAGAGTTCCCATACCCCATACCCAAATTCTTCTACTACTGATATCAGCATATTGCTCAAAATCCATAAACCACACCACATTCGAATTCCCTGTTTTAATTCAAACTCTCCATATTCCTGTATCTCTTGAAGATTGTAATGGTCATTTTTTTAAATTCAACTCCCACACCCGATACAAAACATGCAGCATATGTTTTTTGGTACGTGACGTATTTCAGCTAACATGGTGTTCTACAGTATCAGATATTTTGCTGGAAATGATAGGATATGGTTGTGTATATACATCATATTTTTTGTATCAATTTACCTGATGAAAAAAATGAATGAATTCCATATCATGATTGCAATAAGAATGAAATACACAGAGAAGAAATACACAGAGATGCTCTTGGAGCCAGTATCTCTGATACAATGACTATGGTACTCAAAATGAACAGTTAGAAAATAACATCATAATTAGCACTTTTCTACCAATAAATCAGACTGTATATGAGTATAAATTCCTCATTAAAATGCCATCAAATATATTGAAATGTGTGAAAAGACTTCATACTTAAGTATAATTTGATGTCACATTTATTGAATAGAATCCTTGTAGTTGTCAGAAAATCAGGGTTTCCAAATTGATGATGGCCCCAATATATATTACTTAAGGTCAATAGCTGGAAGTTAAATTTGGTAATGAAAATTCTTATTCTATATTATCTTATTCTATATTACCAAACAGGCGTAGAGAATACTCAATGTATTCCTATATAAGATAATACAGGGTTGTTGTCATGCCAGAAGGTTAAATTAGCACTTGTGATACCACCTTGGATGGTTTGATTCTACTCCAGGTTCTCCACTAATGACCACACTTGCTACTAATGTGCATAGGAAGGCAGAAGAAGATGATCTAAGTAATTGGGCCAATGCCACCCATAGAAAAAAATTAAAACAAAAATAAAACCTTGATAGTGTTCCTAGTACTTATTGAATTGTCACTTTGACCTGGCTGATGCAATCATTTGTGGAATGAATCAGCAGATACCAGTCCTCCACCCCGCCTCTGTGTGTGTGTGTGTGTGTGTGTGTGTGTGTGTGTGTGTGTGTGAGTGAATGTGCTACTATAACTTCAAACTAAAAAATTTACATTTTTTTAAAAAAATAAGAGAATACAGGAGAAATTTTCCCAATCTCCACATTTTCCAACACACTCCTATTTGTTTAGGAAATGCATACACCCACCACACAGAATTCCATCTTTTTCTCACAAAGCACATAACTATATTTCAGTGAATATATACTGATCAGCAGAATTCAATAGAAATAGTAGTATATATCTGTTTCCAGAAGGCTTTGCAATTATCCACTGACTACCTTAGCACCCTGCCAGGGGGTGATACCAATCCGGATATTCTTGACTGAAAGACTGGAAACTAAATGAGGAGAATCGAAGTGGAACAGGGAGTAGCTCAACAAAATTCTTCATCAGAGCTCCAGATTGTTCAGAAAATGTATGAAAGAATCCATTAGAAACACAAAGACTACCAGCTGGAGCAGAAGTATTAGACATAGTCAGATGACCAAGGTTAATTTTCAAACTATAAAATTATGAGCTATGATTGAAGCTTTTTAAATCGAATGTCTACATTGGAGAGGTTATGCTTCATAAATTCTGTAGCTAATATATTTTGGTTTTCTTGTGTTTTAATGTTAAAAGCTGGTCTATTTAAATGAGTAAGACTTAAAAATGTACCAAGCTAAAGGCACAAATCAGAGGGAATAAATACAATCAGGCCACAAGCAGGGAGCTGAAATGAAAGTAGGGAAGCTGGGAAACGAACCAGTGCCCTAATGGGAACCCAGCACTTGCAAGGTGAGGACTTTAGCCTCTTGGCTGCAGTGCAGGGCCCAATGGAAGAAAAATCATAAATGAGCACAGAGAATAAACATTTAGGAAATCACAGGGACACTGAGATAGTGAATTGTATCTGGAAAGCTTGCAGAAAAACACACATATGAAATATGCTTTAGGAGCCTAGATGCCCACAGCCTTGCCCATTACCTGCATATTCTCTTTGATCCGCTTCTCACTGAAACTCTTGGCCAAGACCACAATTTCACGCTGGAGTAGGTATCGCAGGGAAATCTGGGCTGGACTTCGCTTGTATTTTTTTGCCAAGGCACAAAGAACTGGATCTTCTAAGAGAACTGGGGTGTCCGGATTCACCCTAGAAGGAAATGAAGCTAAATTGAATTTCTGAATGAGTGTATTTGTTTTATTGGGAGGTTTCCAGAACAGACTGTAGGACCTTCTCTGTATCAGTGCTTCTCCAGGGTGGGCTCAGGCCAGCAGCATCACTCTCATTTGAGGTTTTGCTAGAAATGTAAAGACTGCATTTGTACTATGTAAAGTTCAGAGTTAAATCCAGAAAACTGGTTAGGCTATGATCGTAAATGTTTCTACAACAAAAGTGTTTTAGGTAAACTTTGTGTTGCTTTCATTACCAGTTTTCATATCTTTGTGTCCCCAAAACACCATAGGCCACCAGAACAATGTCCTTGGACTTGCAGAAATCCAGCAGTTTGCTCTGGTTGAGATAAATGTGACATTCCACCTGTAGAGAAACAACATAGAAAAGTTTACAATTATTTGAGGTGCAAACATTTACATGAAAGATACAAGTTCAAAAATGAAAATAAATACAAAGAAAACCTAAGTAACCCAAAATAGAAATTGAAAATTTCAAAGCAAAGTATGATTTTAAAAGATATTAACACTTAAAACATTGAGAAGAAATCCCTCACGTAAATCAACATCCTGGGACTGATAATACATGTTTAACTTTTTTTCAATCTGAGAAATCATGTAAATTTTCACTTCTAGGAAAAGAAAATAACTGTTTAGATACTTGACATTGAATTGTACCAAAAGGTAAGTATATGTTCAAAGATTCATGAGGGAACGTCGAATGAGCAAAATAATTGGTTTGCTAGCAATATTACCAATGGTTGCATGTGGATTTCCGCATCATAGTGAATAATGAATAAAATCGAATTTGGTACACAAAATGAATAAAAATGCATGTTGATAGTAATAGATATATGTATATATAGAGAGAAAGCGAGAAAGCAAAACTTATCTGATGGTGATTGTGACATTAAAGGTTTTGGGGCCTGGAGCGATAGCATAGTGGTTAAAGTCCTTGCCTTGTAGAGGCAGGATCCCATATGGTCACTGGTTCTAATCCTGGAGGCGCTGCTTCCCATCTAGCCTCCTGGTTGTGGCCTGGGACAGCAGTTGAGGATGGCCCAAAGCTTTGGGATCCTGTACCCGAGTAGGGGACCTGGAAGAGCTCCTAGCTCCTGGCTTCAGATTGGCTTAGCTCCAGCTATTGTGGTCACTTGGGGAATGAACCATCAGACAGAAGATCTTTCGCTCTGTCTCTCCTTCTCTCTGTATATCCACCTTTCTAATAAAAGTATATAAATCTTTAAAAATAAATAATTGTTTTTTAAAAAAACATTGCTAATTAAATGTATGGCATATATGTTTGCTCTATCATACAAGAATAGGTATGGGATATCTTGGCTATATTTTTACATTAAATGTCATATAGCAAAGTAGAAAGAATAGTTAAAAATGAAGATCAGTATTGATAAATTCTAATAAAATAATCAATCCAGGCGAAAATATAACAAATACTAGACTATGACTTAAAAATAAATCATATAATACATTTTTCCCATGACATCTAACACTCAAAAGATTACTAATGGAGCCAGCATGCTGGCATTGCAGGATAATCCTCTCTGCCTCCATATACTGGCATACCATATGGGCATAGCTGCTCTACTTCTGATCCCGCTCTCTTCTTGCGGCCTGGGAAGGCAGCAGAGGAATACCCAAGACTGGACCATCGCATGCATTTGGGAACCCAGGAAGAAGTTCTTGGCTACCAACTTCAGATGAGCTCAGCTGTGACCACTGTAGCCATCTGGAATGGATGTACCCCCCGCCCCCCGCCACCTTTATAAGAATAAAATCTTGAAATAAAAGTAAATAAGTCTTTAAAATATATATATATTTTTAAAATATTTATAAAATATTTATAAATATTTATAAATATATTTATAAAATATATATATATATATATATCGGAGGACAACTGACCAGATCTGTAGAAATACAATTGATTAAAGAAAGGACATTTGAAATCCTTGCTAGTGTGGAGCCAGAGCCAGTTGCAATTCTGCCGGGAAGGCTCCAGGAACAGTTAATATGGAAATGAACAGGAAGAGACTCCCTAGTTCAAGTTTAGATAGATCAAAGAGAGGTGCCTCCTCTGCAAGGCAGGGTAACAGGAACTAACAGACTGAAGAAAGGAATCTGTTAGATGAACAAATCCATTAAGAGACTTCCACTTGCTGTTGAAGTGTAAATTCCTCAAACCCCTCTTCCCTCATGCTTATATGATCACCTGTCTTTAAAAAGTTTGATGCTGTTAATAAACTTTGCTATTGACCATCAGCCAGTAGCCCACCCATGTTATTCTTGGCTCTTTGCACTAAGTCCATCTCTGCTGAACAGTGAAAATACATATAGTAATAACTGCAGTGGTGAGGGAACATAATGCTCAGAAAGAAGAGATATGATTATGACTAGGTTAATTAAGTGACCAAAAAAAGCTAGTTGTGTCCTAGTGGGTTAGGCTACCAACTTTGACTGACTTCAACATCCTTCATCTGAGCCCAGATTTGAGCCTTTGCTTCTGATCCCTATCTCTGCTCTGTCCCTAGAAAAGCAGCAGAAGAGGGCTGAACAATCTGTGCCCTGCCACTCAAATGGGGGACCTGCATGGAAATCCAGATTTTTTGCTTTCAGCTAGGCCCAGCCACAGGTATTGGGATGAACCAATATATGCCAGTTTCCTATATGAATACAATGGTCATTTTGGGGTATGATTGTCATCTTAACCCTTGTATATATGCCTGCAGGGTCTTCCTGGCAGATTCCTCCAGTACCCTATTGCTGGAGGGGATGAACCTTTTGTCCGCCATCCAGCCTCCTGGCATGCGAGAGACAGACAAACGCAACATGGATTCCGTCTAAGCAGTTCTGGTTTATTTGGGAAATTCAGTTTCTTATATAGGGTAGCAAATAGTGTCAGGCCAGGAATCCCAGGAATTCCAAAGGGGATAAACTAGTAGCCCATTGTCATCAGCATGACTGCAGAAGCCACCTCCTATTGCCCAGGGGTAGGTGAGCAAAATGACCCTGGCCAATCAGTCTTTCTTTGAAACAACATGACCCCTACCCTCCTTCACGCCCAGAGCTCTGTCCTTGGCCGCCATGTTGCTCACCACATGTTAACACAGTGACCTTGACTGTTAGTCACCATCTTGTATCAGTGACCCATTCGCCCTTCAAGCCCCACATACATCCATAGCACTGTCTTCTTCCAACTTATGCTTGTTTAACATTATGATTAGTGGGGAAATAAGCCTGTGACCACACAGTGGATAAATATTTTATCTTTTCAAAAACTGATGAAGAGAGGGGAAAGAGGGAAGAGGATCTTTGATAAGTGCAGGAGAATGAGGGCAATATGAGACTGTCTTACTAGAACTATACCTAGCATCTGCAGTAAATGCATGATTTAGTGGCTAGGAGAAAAAGTGCTTCCTAACCTCCAGAACAGAAAAGTGACACAAAAAAGAAGATAACTGGAAGAACAGTATTCCTGATTAAAATAGATTCAAACGTCTTCAACAAGATACTAGCTAGTTTATTCTAATAAAACATCAGAAATATAATTTACCTGGATCAGATGGGATTTATCCCTGCTTTGTAAAGATAGTTCAACATGCCCAAATCAATAAGTGCGATACATCCCATTAAGGAGTTGTAAAAGTCATATGATCATCTAAGTAGATAGAGAGAAAACATTTGAAAAAATGCAACACCCTTTTTATGGTAAAGAACTTAAGTAACTTGGGTATAGAAGGAACATTACTCAGAGTAATCAAGACAAACTGTGACCAACCCATAGTCAACGTAATCGATGAGGAAAAGTTGGAGGGTTTTCCACCAAGTCCCAGAACTAGACAAGGACATGGCTTTTCCATGTGGTCCTGATAGTTTTAGCCAAAGTCGTTAACCAAGAAATGGAAATTGGAATATAAACTGCAAACGAGACAGTAAACTTATCCTTGTTTGCAGCTGATGTGATTTGCTAATTATTGGAACCAAGAGACTTTAACAGACTCATAAGGAGTTTGCTGAAATTGCAGGATATAAAATCAGCACACAAAAATCAGTAGCCTTTTTCTCTATATTAGCAGAAAATTTAAATATAAAAAGAAAAATAGCATATTTAAATTGGTAAAAACAATTTTTTAATGATTCCCAATGAGGTTCAACTTACGAAACACAATTTTATGAAGACAATTTTCTGTCAAAAATGTTCAATCTTAAACTAATAAGAGATTCAGGCCTGAATTCTAAAGGAAAGATTGGAATGGAAAATGACTACTTGTTATTATCAGAAAATAATATCGGACATTCAGAATACAAACAAAATCAGTTTGCATATCATCAGGATTGTGGGGAGAAATTGATTAGGAATCTTTGAGAAAAGAGATTGATAGCCAGAAATTTGGCCTAAAGGTTAAGTCATTTGAGTCCCATGTCAGAGTTTCTGAGTTCCCAAAGCCAACTTTTAATTCTAAATTACTGCCAGTGTAGACATTGAGAAGCAACAGGTAATGACCCAGGTGGTTAGATCCTCACCACATACATGGGAGATTTCACTTTGCTTGCCAGCTCCTTGTGTTAGCCCAGTCCAACCTGGCTATTCCAAGTACTTTAAGTAGTAATGCAGTGGATGAAGCAGAATGAAATGCTTGATAATGGGAATGTAATTTTGATGCAAAACTTTTCATTCCTAGATACTTCGGACATCTGTAATAATAGCAATTTCTCCAATACACTCAAATATTTTTACATACAATTGGTAGCATGTCAAAATAACAGCAATTTGGGCCCAGCACCATGGCCTAGTGGCTAAAGTCCTCACCTTGAACACGCCAGAATCCTATATGGTCACCAGTTCTAATCCCGGCAGCTCCATTTCCCATCCAGCTCCCTGCTTGTGACCTGGGAAAGCAGTTCAGGATGGCCCAAAGCTTTGGGACCCTGCACCTGCATGGGAGACCTGGAAGAGATTCCTGGTTCCCAGCTTCAATTCGGCACAGCACCAGCCACTGTGGACACTTGGGGAATGAATCATCGGACGGAAGATCTTCCTCTCTGTCTCTCCTCCTGTCTGTATATCTTACTTTGTAATAAAAATAAATAAATCTTTATTTAAAAATCAGCAATTTTGTCTATAGATGGGAAAAGATGACTTTTCTAAATATTACATCAAAAGTTCAGATTATTTGGAAGCTTTTCTAAAAATAGAGGGATAGTAATATGAGAAATATTTAATATATCTTGCAATCATCGTGCTCTATATTAAATAGAAAATTTGTAAGTTTTCTAAGTTGTATTTTTTTTTCTAATTTAAAATCCCTGTATCAATACTACTAGTTTTTAAAAAACTATAGCAAAGAATCGATTACAGAATACTTGTGTTTCCTCAGCTACTTGACCACATAAAATAGGAAGCAGGCTTAGGTATAGGTGGGCACTTTCTCTAATAAGTAGAGAAAGTCTAACTCTACTAAAAGTTCTCAGCAATGATTTAATTCATCACTTGTATCACCAGAAACAGGTAACTTTTTTTGTCTACCATGCATGACTGCCTTAGTTTCTACTTACCTCTTCACGGAACTGTGACTATGGTTCAGATACCTAAAGGCAGGTCTCAAGAGAAAGGACTCAGGCATCCAGACTGCATATGAATCATCATGACCTATCTAATTTACCATCTTCCTTAAACACAATTCCCTTCATATCCATGCTCTCACCTTTAAACTCTGATCATCCTTGGTAACTCAAGCGTGAGCCCACCTTCCCTATGTGACACATTAACAACTGCTGCCTTCCTTAACCACTTTGCCTCCATGGATTATTACAATGAATTCAGATCTAAAGCCCTCCCAATTGTTCCATATAGGATTTTATCATTCACAGAACCAAGGGAAGGTCCTATAGTTCTTTTCTAAACAGAAACAATACTCTTAGAAACTCACAGTCCACAAAGGCATAAATAAAATGGGAGTAGAAATGAACATCTACCACTAGAACAGGAATCACAGAATGAAGAAAAGGATACAAGGCTAAAGGGCCTTACCTGGTTGCAAACAGGTTTGTATTTGAGCCCTGGCTTGTTCAGGATCATCTCCAGCTGTCTGCGGTTAAAGTTAGAGACCCCAATGGACTTGGCCAACCCTGCATCCTTACATTTTTCCATGGCCTGTGGAAGAATGGTTGCAAAACTGTATTATTTACAGATACAAATGCTAAGTATTATTATTAGGAGCACCTTTGAAGAATCGCAGTTAAGATAATTAACACTGAATATTCTGATAAGGAAAAAATAGCATGAGAGAGAGAGAGGAAAAATGTAAATACTGTAAGGGGATATATATATTATATCATGTATATAAATATTAAATATAATATGTAATTCATTATATTATATATGCTAATGTTTATTTTATATATACATATGAATTATATATTTATATATGTTAATATATCCACCTTACAAAACTGAAGAGAATAGTGCAGATAGAGCAGAAAAATTACTTTTTATGTCATTTTTCCATTTCTTCTGATTATAGTCCATTAATATATTACTTGCGTGCTCTCTCTCTCTCTTTCCCTTCTTCCCCGCCCACACAAACAGCCTCCATCCAAATCAGAAATGTCTGCATCTAAAGCTGTGACTCCCACATTCATAGAGGTGAGATAACCTGACTCTCTGTAAGCTTGCTTTTCTGTGGCATCTCCAGGAACTCACCTCCCATGTGGTACAGAGATCCACGGTGTCATATAATACTTTTCCATCTTCACCTTTTGGCAATAGTTGTTCACCTGGCTAGAGAAGAAGTCATTAAAACAGTGATTAAAAATTGAGGTTTATACTCATAATATGCTCTTAGACAAATATCTAGGGCAAAACAATAAACCTTTGTAAAGTCGATGCAACAACATCCTCTATGAACACATTTAAAAATATTTTCCATGGTGAATTTCAAGGAACATACTTTGGGGGCAGATTTCCTCTATTTCCTCTTCTGTATATATGTGTGTGTATATATACACAGAGAAGGAATACTATATATATATTATATATACTATATATTATGTACTATATAGTATATTATGTACTATATTACATAATACACTATATATTATGTAATTACTATGTATTGCATATATATGTACTATTTCCAATAGTGTCTCCTAGTTGATCTATTTTATTTTGAATAGTTCTAGACTTTCATCTAAAAGTGTTTGCACTAGAAAAATTAGAAGTTATACAGCTTTGATCTCCAGGTACAATAGATTGCAATCTTGACCAAGTCTAAAAAGCAAGATCAATGCATATGGAAAGCCATTCAGTTGGGACAGATGTAGCTAGGGTGTGACTAGCACTACTCCTCGGTTAGCGAGGCTGTGAGGACTTCCTGGCTGCATGGCAAGGCCTGGCAGAATATCTCTGGTCACTTCATTGCTCACCCCATTTTATGGACACTCGATCAACTCTCTGATATTTCATAATTCTCCTGAGGGTGTTGTTTTTCTTCAAATGTGAAGTGATCCCTGTAACTGGTATAACATCCCAAGCAGATCAATCATGTTATGATAAAAACATCATTAGCAACTTAAGGCAATGACACACAACTAAAAGCATACAATAGTACATTGAGCCCACAATGTCCCCAAGCATCCTGTTATGTGCCCACCTTTGTCCTGGAGTTTAGTTAAGAAATGGCTTGATAATATCTTGGAACAGATGGCAATCATTGAGGTACAAAGAGTTTGTTTACCGTGCAGCCACAAACTGTTACATCATTTGAAATGACGCATTTTGGTTTCTCACACAGAGAGCAGAAAGTATATGGGGCTTCTTCTAAAAGGAGACGAATGGGAATCCCCAAAGAAAAATGGTTTTAAAATTTTACCTTATGTTTGCACTTATATTTAGGGAAAAAAAAAACAGTTTAAAAAGGTAAAAGAAGTTTCTTATAAAAGTCCTCTGTTCACAGAAAGGCTGAGTTGCCCTGATCCCTTTCACTGCCCTTTAACAAAAAAACAAAAAATAATTGATTCAGTACTAGATGAAGGTGGTGGTAATTAGTATATGACTAAGTAAAAATGAAGCAGTTGGATGTTGTGCAAAAGCCTGTGATGATCTGTGCATAAATAAATAAGGTAACTTTCTTGAGCTGTCCTTTATGAGCATCATGCTTTAGTGGTCCACATTGCCTCTTTCTTGTCTTCTAACCAATCCATGCATCCTTTGCAAGCTCTCAGGTGAGTGGGAGAGTGTCTCTGGCAAATGTTCTCCCAAAACACGTGTTATTCCAAGGACAAGTACTTGACATAATCATGGCCTTAAAAGATTGATTTTCATGCTGCAACCTGCAAATATGCCAAGTACTAGTGACAATGAGCATTGAATGACCTCAACATCACATTTGCCACCAATTTAAAGGATTTAGCCAGAAGTCCAGCACATTTGTGGCAATGAGGAAGTAAGAAATTGACAGAAACAAAGTCATTTTCTGAAGATTATATTAAACTAATACATCTATCAGTGTTTTAGACTCATTCACTACTTATTCCATTTAGATATTTCTATAAGTTCTCTTGAGTAATTTCTGTAACTTACAAGAATATGTGTTTATACATTTATATAGGCCTAATTTAAGCATTCCTAAAAATAAAGATCTATACTTAAAGTAATACATGCCAATAACTGATGTGAAATAGGTTTGTTCATGCAAATTACCAACCTTCAAAGGCATTGGAAAATGAATAACGTAGAGATCAACATAATCCAGTTGAAGTTTTCTCAATGTATCTTCCAAGACTGGTCGAACAAGCTCTGGTTGATGGAAGGTGCACCAAAGCTGTCAAGATTGATAATTGAAACTTGTTTTGGAATAATGCATTAATAAATGAATTGATTTGCTTTAGCTAATATTGACATGATTCTACTAGTTTGATATGATCAACACAAGGAAAAATATTTCATTCTATATTGTGTATTCCTTAATGTGAGCTACTAAAGTAAAATCACAGTGCATACACTTGGTTTTTACTGAACAGTGGAAATATCGCTTAAGAGATTCATGCTCGCTTCAGCAGCACATATACTAAAAATAAGAGATTGAAAAATATTAGCTGTTTACAAAGTTAAAGTCAAATTCTTCCTTCTTTTGCTGAATAAGAAAAAACAAATCATCAATATCATTTTCACAGCTAAGGGAAAATAATTTTGAACATTTGAATGGGTTTTACATAATTACAGAGTACTTAAAAATATCATGCTTAACATCCAAAGACGTCTCTAAAAGACCTGTCTTTTAAATTTTTAAAAATTGTACACAATGATTAGAAACCTATAATGGATATGGACATAATAAATCCATAAGAATAATTAAAGTTAATCAATAAAGAAAATTTAACCAAAAACTATTAAGCCAACTACATAGCTGTTTCATATATCATATTTAACTAACATATACTTGGATACTATATGTAAACCACCTTTGAAGTATAGAATATCTCTTTTCTTTGCACAATTCCTTCCGCAATCTTGCTTCTGATTGCCAGTCCAACCTCCTCTTCAATGCTGTATGTATAAGCTGAATCAAAATGCCGGAAACCAGCATCGATAGCTAATTTGGTGGCCTCCAAAGACTCAATTTTAGGAACCTAAGGGAGCAATCAAAAACTGTTTGTAGAGTTACATGTATGAGAGATACCTAGTGCAGTGCTAGTAACCTTCCCAAGAATCAATTTTTACTCAAATTTTGGATTACTTCTGAATTAGAGATCAAAGATCAACTCCAGGTAGTCTGGGTTATTTTCAAATCAAATATAAGGGCCAATAGTTCAATGAACCTTCCTAGATCTAGGTAATAACTTGGATCAATCACTAGTTACTTCCAGTCCTAGAGTTTGAGAAGTTTTCAGGCCATTATTATTAATATACTAAGATTACAAGATAAAACTAGCAGAGGCGAAATGAGCATATGTGCATGGAATGAAATACGGAAGAAATAAGACATAAGCCTCTGTGAGCTCCATTGCAGTGAAGTCATCCAGAACACAGCAAATTCTACCTATATAAAATATGATGCACCAGAAAATAGGTCTAAAAGTAAATACTGAGATTTATTTGCTAAAACACTCACTGGAGACAGGTTTGACAGACTTGCTGCATTACTGACAATACCTCTATCCATCTGAAAGCAGTTACTCTTTACTCCATTTCTAAAAGGTGTTTAGATACAGTCACGTTGTTATCGGATACAGAAACAATAAAACAATTAATGCTGGCAAGGATATGGGAAAAATTTTATCCTCATCTGTAGTTGATGGGAATGAAAATTAGTACATTCATGAAAGACAGCATGGAGATTTTTCAGAAACCTAAAAATTGACCTACCATGTGACTCAGCCATCCCTCTCTAGGAAATTTACCTAAGTGAAATGAGATCAACACATAAGACGGCTGTTTGTATCCCCATTCTTACTGCCTCTCAATTCACAACAGCTAAATTATGGAATTAACCCAGCTGTTCATCCATGGTACACTGGGTTAATAAGGAAAATGTGGTATACATACACTATGGAATACTACTTGGCAATAAGAATTTAATCTTATCTTATGCAGCAAAATCAGTGCAATTGGAGATCAATAGGCTTCATGTCCATGAAAATTTGAAAGTGTATTTGTTAAAGGAAAAGAAGAAAATTAAACGTTGCAATGTTTACTATAGGAATTTTATAAATCAGTTGCTTTTAATGAAATACAAATGAGACACATATTTTGTGATACTGTCGTCCTAACCTAGGTGTTGGGGCACATAGTACTCTCGCACAGTATTAAAACTAGTATTAAAACTAATGATCTAATGATGCCTCGCAGGATTCATCTCTGCCATGACTTTGAAAATAACCAAGTCTTGCAATATGTCCTCAAAATTGCCTTTTAAAAACGTTCTTTCTATCATAGATTTGGAAAAATAAAGTTACCAATGTTAACATCTTTAGTCCAGTGTTACACAATTTTATCTTCTATAAATATTAATCCCAAAAGATAGCTTCCAGACCAAGATACATTATCCATTGTAATGATTTTCATTTCACAGAGCCACATATAAAATTTTTGCTAAATATGGTGTGCATTAGTAGGACCAGCAATTTGGATATTATTAGGTTCCAACTGTCTTGTTGGACTCCAAATATTCTCTAAAATGTTACGTTTTTTTTTTTTTTTGGTATTTTCCCAGTTACAACAGTTATATTTGAGATGATCTACTTAAGGACAGCTGCTTATGCTGTTATTTTCAAGGTTGTATTCCATTAACATTCAGGCAAATTAATTCCAATAATTTCAGCAACAAAGATTCAGAGCAAATTTGTTTGCTTGGAAGGAAAAATTAAGTCTTCAATCATAAAATGAACATAGGAAATATTTCACTTGCTTTCAACCTTAAAAAAAAGACTCTTAATTTGATTTTTATTTTTTATACCACAATTGAAAAATATTTTTAAAAAGAGAGAAACATCCAATGACCAGAAAAATTAGTAGCTGATTATGAGATCAGAACCAGATGCAGAACTGGCTAAGTACCCTTTGTGTTGTGCCTCTCGCTGGTACAACTTACAAGTATGCTCCATCCCCAGCCCTGCTCAGAGACACACTGAAAAATGAAAACTTAAAACAAGAAACTAAGTCACTAAAACCTCTTCTATTTATTTGTTAACCTTCAATTCCACAAACATAATTCTCACCTCCCATTTTCTAGCAGTACCAAATCCCAGTGCAGGCATGAGGTTGCCATCATTTAGTTTCACACAATAGGTCTTGTGGTCCATTGTTGGTTATTCTTCTGGTTAACCACACTATTTTCTGCCTTTTCAGTCAGGGCTACCAAACACACTGCTTTATTTTTTGACTTTTAAAACGTATGCAAATTTTGATTTAATTATTAACCAATGACTAGAGAGACACTTGGTATTAAAGCAAATTAAATATTGCGGAACCAATATTTAATTGAACCAGCTCAAAATTTAGTTGAACCAGCTCAATTATTTTACATGAAAGTAAATTGTTCAACAAATAACTTCCTAGCGATCAGGAAAACATGTTTTAATGAATTGCTTTTTATAATGTAATACCAATTATGGTAAATTATTATTGAAGTAATTACAGGCCATTTGCTACACCAAAAATTATGGATAGTCCTCATTTTGTTTTAATTTTCATATTTTTGTCATAAAGGTCATAGAATATTTAAACCATCCAACTACATAGCTTATGTTACACATTCAAACACACATTAGAATTAGCAATATGACTGAAGAGACCATGTTCTTTTCTTTCTTTTTTTTAAAGATTTATTTTATTTTTATTGAAAAGGCAGATGTACAGAGAGGAGAGACAGAGAGGCAGATCTTCCCTCCAATGATTCACTCCCCCAGTGAGCGCAACGGCCGATACTATGCCGATCCGAAGCCAGGAGCCTTTTCCAGGTCTCCCACACGGGTGCAGGGTCCCAAAGCCTTGGGCCGTCCTCGACTGCTTTCCCGGGCCACAGGCAGGGAGCTGGAAGGGAAGCGGGGCTGCCAGGATAGAACGGCGCCCATATGGGATCCCTGGCATGCAAGATGAGGACCTTAACCACTGCGCCATCGCGCCGGGCCAGACCATTTTCAATTGATAAAAACAGATTGCATTTTATTATCTTGCAGCACTATGTTTACCATGGGTGCAATGTTACCAATACGTTGATTCATAAACATGTACAGCTAGAGCTCTGAAAATCTTAATAAAGTGGAATTTCTCAGGAAACACCAAACAACCTAAACCCTACACAGGAGTAGGCTTTTGGTTCAACAGTTGTGACTATTATGCCCACATCTCATATTGGAGAGCCTAATTCCAGGCCAGAAGCTTCCTTGTTCAATTCAGCTTCTCGCTTATGTGTATCCTGGGAAGAAGGAGGTACCCATATGGAAGACTCCTAGGAATATATCCGTAAGAAAATTAAAAAGTATATAAAACAGTCACTTTCAGTAACATATTGGTAGCAGCTGAATTCACAATGACATAAGTGAAATCTCCCACTCATTCATCTGTACACAAATGTAAATTAATTTGTATTTATACCACATTTGCTACAATTTTTTTAAAGATTTATTTTATTTTTATTGCAAAGGCAGATATACAGAGAGGAGGAGAAACAGAGAGAAAGATCTTCCATCCAATGCTTACTCCGCAAGCGGCTGCAACAGGTGGAGCTGAGCCAAACAGAAGCCAGGAGCCTGGCACAGTCCATTGCCCCGATCAGCTGGTGGTTGCAATTGCTGGGTTGGTTCTGTTTTCAGCCCCAACTTCCACTGGAACCAATGGGTGTTGCAGTCCAGCCTGGTTCTGCCCAGCACATACTCGGCCCTCACATAAACCAGTGGGAGCTGCAGCCTAGTCAGAGTGACCCACAATAACCCCCACCAGGCCCACCCCCTACCCTGGTTTGCCAGTATGTGTAGCAGACTAGTCCAGTCTGTCCCACATCCCATTTGGCTCTCGTACATGTCGATGGGTATTGAAGCTTAGTTCCATCCAACCAGCTCCACTATCCAGCCCTCACGGATGTTGTTGAGTGCCTCTCTGTCTAGCCACCCCAGCCCCTGTTCTAGTTTTCATGCCCTTCCACTGGAGTGGTAACCCAAGAGGGAGGAGCCCACTATTTCCCTCCCAGATGTCTAACCCACTCCAGGATTATGCACTCTTCAGGTGGTTCTGGCATTTGACTTGACAAAATTAGCCCCCAGTGCCAGCTTCTGCCAGCTGATGCTGTGGCTAAGCCCAAACAACCTTCACCCACTCTAATTTTGTTTGCACCAGTAGGAATAATCAGCCCAGCCTGGATTTTCCCTAATCTAGTCCACATGAGGCACACAGGTGTTGTAATCCTGCTTGGTCTGTTCTGCCCCTACCCCAGCTCATGCTCTCCAGTGGGAGTAGCTGTCTAGCAAAGGAACCCTCCCTATAACCCTGCTGGTTTCTGCTCCCCTCCTTCTTCCCTGGTTCTCACACATGCTGGATGGGTACTGTGGTCACTTCTGGCCCAGGCAACCTCACCTTGGCATTCTGTATTGTGCATTGGTTTTTGTCACAACCAAACCCGGCTCAACCCACACTGTTCTGGTGTCTGTGTTTGCCAGTGGATGATGTAAACAGATTCAGCCTGGTCTGGCCCTGACCCATGCCAAATATATGCCAGTGGGTAACTTTCCATGGCCTGTTCTGGGCTGTTTCCTATCATGCTTCTTGCGCTTACCTGCCGGGTCTGTGTCCTGCCAGAGGAGTTGCCCAGGCTCCTCCATCAGAACCTCTCCCAATGCCAGATTTTGCGCATACCAGTGGGTCCATGAGCCAGCCCTACTCAGTTCATGTCCTGTCCTAGCAGAAACAGTGGCTCTTCCTAACTGGCCTTCAACCCAAAATGGTGTTTGCTGTTGGATGTTTCAGCCCAGCCATGGCTCACACATGGCACATATGGCTCACATATGGTTCAGTAAGGCCTGAGACCTTGCCTAGTCCATCCCACATCTACCCTGGTCCTCCGGGACACCAGACAGTGTTGGACTCTGGCTTGGTTTGGTGATCCAATCCCAGTCCACATTTGTGCCAAGGGAAACTACAACCGTGTCCCATTCAAAATGCAACCCCCATTCCAGCCTTCAGGCCCCTTGGTGGGAACCTCAACCAAGATAGGATTGTCCCCTTAGCTCCCCAACTGGGCCTGTTCAAAGCCATAGATCACCCGCATGCCAGTGGTTGCTCTGACTCAGCTTGGCACAGCCCCTCACCTGTCCCGACCTCTGCCTTAGACACTGTGGCTTAGAGTCCCTGACTCATGCAGACCAGTAGGTGCAAGAGCCTAGCTCAGCATGACCTGTGCTCCATCCTGGTTTCTAGTTTTGCTTGTAGGCCAAGGCTTGCTCGGTCCTGCCCAGTACATCCCGCTCCATTACCAATTCACACAATGGCCAGCCATTGGAGCTACTTTGCCCAGCTTGTCCAACCCCCAGGTCTGGACCACATGTTCACCAGTGGGATCTATGATTCACCAAGGGAGTTTTCCAAGTTCCTCCACTTGATCCACTCCCAGACCCAGTTCTCATACATGTCATTGGGTTTTAGGCCAGTGCCCAGTGCAGTCTGGCCTTCCATTTGGCCATGTATAAGCTGGTGAATGTTGCAGCCCAGCCCACCCCACACCCTATTCAGGATGCACATTTGGGTGCTGCCCTGATCAGTCCAGACTATTGGGAGTTCCTTTACCTGTAGTTGATGATATGCGCCTTAGTCACACCTAGCTTATTCCATCACCCTCCATCTCTTGAGCTAACCAGTGGGGCTAGAATTTCCACATGGTTTGACCCACGCATCCCTCACAGAATCTGCCCCTGGTTATGGTTCTAGTGCTAGTTAATGTAATGGCCCTGTATGGACCTTTTTCCTGATCCATCATCATTTCAGGTAACAGGGTATGATTCTGCTGGACCATCCCTGAGCCTTAGCTTTTGCATGAACTGGTGCTAAGCATTGTTCAGTGATTACAAGTTTTTCAAAGGAAGAATTACTGTCATTGGGAATCTTTAGGATTGACTCACATCCCAGAAGCACAGTGGGTTCAACCTGGAGCTACCTAAGCAGCAATTCAAAGAACCAAATACCTAGAGCTCCTTAGCCGGGCAGCCAGCAAGCAGAGCCTGGAGCCAAATGGTGCACTGGCCACCCAGGGAGAGCTTACCATGTGCACATGGTGGCTGTAGTCTGGGATCCAGGCATGAGGCACCCATCCTGAGACCCATCAGCCGCCAGGAGGCTGCTGGAAATTTGAGAATGAGTAAAATATCAAATGTAAGATCGCTTTCTCTCCATTTAAAATGCAAATTTACAAATTAGTATAAACTTTATAACATGCTGTGAGTTTGGCTACTTAAATTGTTGATGTTATGTTGTGGCTTTTCATTAGACAGGATGATATTCTGCCAGCTTTGCTTTCAGATCAGAGATGGTCTCCCCAAGAAACTGTTGAATTTGTCTGAATGATAAAAGCCTAGACTCTATGCATGGTACATGCTCACAATGAAAGAATCATGACTGGATTTGAATTGTACTACTGCAACAAGATGGAGGAATCCACCATGGTGAGAGGGCTTAGGGAGGGGTTGGGGGAATCCCAGAGCCTATGAAACTGTGTCATAAAATGAAATAAAACAAATATTCATGATGACACTAACAATAAAATAGTTATAATCAGACAAGTCACATTCATCAACACAAAGGCACTGGTAAATAAGTTATGTAGATGTCAGAACAATCCAATTACATTTGTTTCAGTGACTTTTCCAAGACTGATTAAATTAGCTTTGATTGATAGACAGTGGATCAAGCTGAGGAAAATGGAATTTGAAATTAATACTTAGGCAGCTTTGGTTTGCTTCAAATATTGTACATTTTTCTACAAACAGCTGCAGCTGAAAATGTTCTTCTCGTATTTGTATTTCCCATTTATCTGACCTTCCTATATACAGTAATCTCTGAAGATCCACATGGGATATATTCTAAACACCCTCCTGACCAGTTTTTACCAAAATTCTTAGATAATAATAAGTCTACTATAGGTTTTTTTTTTAAATTGTATTTTGACAATCGTTACATAGTTAATTAGGGTAAAAAGGTTCAAGGGCTACAGGAACGTGGGTAAGACTATTATTTTTTCCATATTGTTTCCTTCATGTTTAAAGGGGGGTATTAAGGGAGAAGGCCCACCCAATTTCCCACCCTCCCCAGGTCCCGGATGTAGGGTATGCTCTGAGGTTCTTGCTTAAGAGGTTTTGATACTTCAGCAGTTATGAATCGCTGCAGGTC